CTCTCGGCTCCCAGACCCCGCGCGTTCGGGCGCCGGAGCGGGTGTCTCGGGCCAGGTCCGGATGGCCGCGGAGGCGGCGTGCGGCGGACGCCGGGAGTCTGGGGACCCGCCTCGCCCCCGGGCTTTCAGGGCGCTTCCCGCATCGGGCCGGTTCCGCGTGGAGCTGGAGGGCGTGGGCGACGCCTCACTTCTAGTTGTACGTTCTGGGAAATACCTGATGGAACAACATTCTAAGACGGATAGAGCCAAGAAGTCTTCCGGGGGCTAAGCAGTTCTTTTACCCCCTCGCTGTATGAGGGGCCTCCAGCGCCGTAGTAACCTAGGGTTACAAGGTACTCGGTGGACGAACCGGTGCGCGGGATTGAGCCCCGGGGCGTCCAGGTTGTTGAACCGCAGTTTCGGCGCCCGGAGTGTGCCAAAGGAAGCTCATCGCTAGATTCTTGCCGAGTTCCGCTGGGTGCGCTTCGCACGGTGCAGATGGCCAGGTGCTCTGGTAGAGCGCTGCAAGCGGCTAATTTGAGTCCGAAAACCTGGTTTGTGATTTCTGACGAACTAACGTCACAGTCTGCTTTGTTTCCCTGCAGTGGAACCCGGCTATAAGTTAACCGATGCATTCATGAATTAGGCACACTTTGCCTAGTTTAAGTGGTTTTCGTGTGTCCATCCCTTTACATTTTCATTTTCTTGTATTTCTGAACACGCAGTGTCTAATCTAACCCTATAAACTTTAATATTGGATTTTTTTAATCTTAGAGTTGTGATATGTAACTTGGCCCACACCAAGTTTTTTGTAAGGCAGCTGTGACTTAATTTTTTAAAACAATGCAAGGCACACCAAATAACACCGGGAGCCACAGTTACACCCTGACGTACGTATTGACCTGTTGAGAACTGGAGTTTTTCCCCCAAAGCTTGCTGGGACTGGTAAACGAAGGTAGTTCTTTTGTTGTAAAAGAAGAGGCATCATTTATTGAAAGGGGAGGCAGGTTATCCATAGTCCTTCTCTTTCCATTATTTACTCCGGAGTGTTGCTTTGTTGAGAATCAGTGGAGAAAGTGAACGAACCTGCAATAGTAGAATTGCCTGACTTTCACGAAACAAAGGCATAGTAATAATTTTAAAGCATTGTTTTTCTAGTTGGTCTTGAGTTTTATGTGAAACAATGGTAACCTTTTCCTGCCAATTTGGAAAAATTTACAGATTAGCCACAATGGCTGAAAATGGTGATAATGAAAAAATGGCTGCTCTGGAGGCCAAAATCTGTCATCAAATTGAGGTATGATTCTTGTGCTATTAAAGTGTAAAAACAAGTTCTTTGACATTTAGGGGCCTCAGAACAAGTAACAAAGAACATTTACTTTCAGTATGTAGACCTATTAAACATTAGGCTTATCTTCTTAGAATTAGAAGAGGTATGAACACTTAGTTTCTTAGTCCAAAAAATGAGGATATTAGAGTACCTTTCTCATAGCATGATTTGGAGAAATAAATTAGTTAATAAGATGTAAAACACTTAGAAGAATGTTCTGCACATAATGGAGTAACATAAAAACCCATACTAAGTGCTTTTCCCGTGAAGATCCTAGCAGTTTATTCTTCCCAGTTCTTGGCTACTGTGAGTTTGAGTATCTATTTTAAAAGCTGTCTTAGTATTAAAAAAAAAATGTAGGTGTTATGTTTAGGGTGAAGTTCTACAGTATTAGTAACAATTACGTGGGGGAAATTATCCCTAAACTGACATTCTGAGGAACAATAACTTTTTTTTACATCTTTGAACTATTTAACTTACACAACTCTTTGCCACTTAACTTCCAACCTTTTTTGTATTCGTCTCTTTATAATTGTGGAGAAAATGATAGAGTATTTTTGTTAATACTTAGGACAATGTAAAGATTATATAGAAAAGATTAATAAAGCCCCACCACAACCTGAAGCTCTCAGATCCCACCTTTTTGGCAAGAGAGTGGGTTGAGAGAGGCTCTCACTGTGTCCTCTAGGCTTGCCTCAGACGCATCAATCCTCTGTGAGACCCTCAGCCTCACAAGTGCTGGGATTACAGACCTGTGCCATCGCACCCAGCAGATCCCACCCTTCTGAGTAATCAAGGTTAAGAGCCTTGTAACACTTTGCTCTGTGCTCATACTAACATATTTTTTAATGGGCACTGTTTTGTTTTGTTTTGTTTTGTTTTGTTTTTTGAGACAGGGTCTTGCAGTGTAGTTTAGGCTGGCCTGGAATTTGTGGCAGTTTTCCTACCTCAGCCTCCTGAGTGCTAGAGATTATAGGCATGCACCCTCACCCTTGGCTTCTGGGTGTTATGTTTTAGAGCAGTGTCAGGATCACAGCATAATTGTATGAAGACAGAGATTTCTTAAACATTCCCCACCAGAGTGGTACATACCTAATAGAATTTTTTATTTCCTTCCCTTTCCCTTACCAAATATGGGCTATGTTTTGGGAGAAGCGAAGTTTTGTGTCATCAGTGATTGTCCATTCTCCTTAGCATGTAGGATCTTTCTGATTTTTATTCATAATAGTTCTGTGCATGTATGGATGTTTTTTGGGGGGTTGGTTTTTGTTTGTGGTTTTTTTTTTTTTTTTTTT